TTTGAGACAGGGTCTCCCTCTGTTGTCCAGGCTGGAGTACAGTGGTGTGATCAGGCTCACTGCAGTCTTGGCCTACAGTCTCAAGCAATCCTCCTGTCTCAGTCTCCTGAATAGCTGGGACCACATACGGGTACTACCACACCTGGCTAATTTTTAAAATTTTAGTAGAGATGAGGTCTCCTTATGTCTCCAGACTGGTCTCAAACTTCTGGGCCCAAGTGCTTCTCCTGCCTCAGCTTCCCAAAGTGTTGGATTATAGGTGTGAGCCACCACATCCAGCCACCATTTACGTTATTAGTTCTGATCCATTTAGACCAGCATTTCTCAAAGGGAGGGGGTTCCATGGAATACATTTCCATGAGATGTCAGTAGGAGTAGGTCTGTGGTCCAATATGTTTGGGAAACACCAAATTAAAGTTAACACAGTGGTTCCTTCCTGTAGTACTCATCATAGCCTTTAATAGGCAAATGTGCCTCAGGACAGACATGGGGACATGGAGGTTCAGTGCTTCCCCAACTTTGGCCATGAAACTCTTCTTGTACAAAGCTTCAGTGGAACACAGTTTGGGAAACATTGTTTTAGACTCATCATCTCGCAGGTCAAGATTTTGCAAAGTTAGAGACTTTTTAGCTTCTGACAGATAATCCCGTTTGGAGAGTGAGAAGATAATGAAACTGGAAAGGCATGCATGTGATCAAGGCCTTTAAAAACTGCTGATGGGGCTGGGAGTGGTGGCTCATGCCTGTAATTCCAACACTTCGGGAGGTGAGGCAGGCGGATTACCTGAGGTCAGGAGTTCAAGACCAGCCTGGCCAACATGGTGAAACCCCCATCTCTACTAAAAATACAAAAAAATTAGCTGGGTGTGGTGGTGGGTGCCTGTAGTCCCAGCTACTCAGGAGGCTGAGGCAAGAGAATCACTTGAATCCGGGAAGTGGAGATTGCTGTAAGCTGAGATCATGCCACTGCACTCCAGCCTGGGCAACAGAGCGAGACTCCATCAAATCAAAAACCAAAAAACTACTGGTGGGCTAGGTGTGGTGGCTCATGCCTGTAGTCCCAGCAGTTTGGGCAGATCACATGAGTCCAGGAATTTGAGGCTGCAGTGAGTTATGATGGTGCCACTGCACTCCAGCTTGGGCATGAGAGTGAGACCCTGTCTTAAAAAAAAAAAAAAAAAGAAAGAAACTGCTGGTGGATGAACAACGGCCTCATTCTGTTGACTTTTTTCTCCTTCATGAAGACTGACCGGAGCTCTCCCATGTCGGCTTGTAGCACAGAAGGTGGAGAGCCTGCTGTGGGGGCAGGGTTTTCCAGATTACGTGGCCTCTTTTGGAAATTCTCAAGCCCAGGATGTGCTGGACTGGGTGCCCATCCACTTCATCACCCAGTCATTCAACAGGAAGGTAAAGGGGAGAAGGCGTAGGTTCTATGCTAGCAGTCTCTCTCTTCTAGGTGGGGTGATGAAGGCAGCCAGGGAAGCCAGCTGTTAAGGAGGTGGGATTGCCCTGAGTGGGAGTGTGGGCTGAATCTTGGATACTGATTTTTGCCCCTTGTTAGCAATGTTGCCTCTGGCCAGGAGTTTTATGGCTTTGAGCCTCTGTTTTCATCTGTGAAATGGGAACGCTAGTCATAGTGGGTGAATGGCCTCATGGGGCATTGAAGGGGTTAAGTGAGGTAACATTTTTATGGCCCTGGGCATGGTACCTAGTGGTCCATAAATGGGAACCACTGTGATCCTTATCCTGTTGCTACCATCATTGTGATTGTTGGTGTCCTCTGAGCCCTCTCCAGGTATCTCATGACACTATAGATGAATGTGAATCCTGTATCAAAGACTGAGACTTCTGTGCACATGGCTGTCCCTCCCATTGTCCCCTGGTGTATACAGGCAGCCCGCACCTGAGAGTTTTCACTGCCACAGTTCCTCACAGAGTTGAATGGAAGCAGACAATCCTACAGATAGGTTCTTGGTCACATGTGATGCTTATGCCCAACTTTTTCCTTTGTCTTAGCAGTCAGTGTGTGGGCCTGCCTTGGCCAGGAGGCGTGCTCTCCATCTTAGCCTGTAATTGCCCAGCTTGTTCTTGTCATGGTTTCTTCAGGCCTCTCATTATCCACTCCGGATATTTCTAGCATGGGCATAATGGGGGCAAGGACTGCTCACTGCTCTGATCCGCCTTCCCACCGAGGCCAGCAGAGACCTGGGATTACTCAGTCCCTACCATTCCACTGCGAAGTCTTGGCTCGGCTCTCCCGCCAGAACCAGGCACATTGCTTCTGGCTTCTTGGCTGAGTGAAGACATCCAGTTATTACTCCCCTCAGAAGGCAGGACACGGGTTGGCAGGAGAGGCAGCAGTGCACACAGGGCACCATCAGGGTCTGTGCTGATCCTGGGTGCTCAGAGGGCCTACTGCAGTGGCTTTTGTACCAGCCCTGCCAGCACCCCAGGTAGAGGCAGAGCATGAGCACCTGCTGAGCTCTTTCCACTAGCTGCATGCTGCATCTTCAAAGAACAGGATATTTGAGAGGATTATTCAGCCTGCACGGTTTTTAAAGGCAGTTCCGAGCTAAGGAATTCCATCAATGCTTTTTTGGCAGCCACCAAATTTAGCAGGCCTGTGAAGTTTTCATATCTTGAAGAGATGTATTTTAAAACTTTTTTTAATGAAAAAATGTCAGACATACACAAAAGTAGAACTGTACCATGGAGTCCCCACGTACCCAGCCTGCAGCTTCAATAGTTCCCACATTTGCCAACTGGAGAGACAGCAAAGGCAGGAAAAAGCCCTGGAAGGCCCACTGCCCCTTGTTCCCTTGGGGCAGAGGCCTCAGAGCTGGCTCCCAAAGCAGCCAACAAAACAGGCAGCTCCTTCATGGCACCAGCAGTGTTCCTGGTGCAGATGAAGAGTTGTTGTCTTTGACAACATACAGACACTGCCTGACTACCCAAATGTCACCTCTTAATTGCCAGTTGATGAAATTAGATAAATGAGAAGAAGGCACTTACATTTCTCCTCAGCATTTTAACATGACATGCAATCAGGTTTTATTTGCTAGTAATTATTTCTCCCCACTCTATCCCTCCCACCAGTTTCTCTCCCGAAGTCTCTCTGAGGCAGGTGTAAAGAGATAGATGAAGGTACGGCAGTTATGGCCTAAAGGGTCCACAGTTGGGTATTGGCACTACCACAGTTTCAGGTGATCCTGGCCTTTTTAGAAATAGGAGGGGATGGAAAAATTACGCTTCAGCTGTTAAAAATATTTTTGGGGCATTGAGTTACTTTAAAATACATACTTTCTCTAAGCCGTTTTTATCTGGACTTCTAGAGTCTATTCATTTTCTTGTTCAGAACATTTTGTAATATGTGAAACCTTTTATAATTAAAACTCTGCACTGCAGATTAAGTCTGACTTGTGGTTGTGTAAGATTCTAATGGATTAACAGCATTTTGTTTTGCAGGATTCCTGCCAGCTCCCAGGGGCTTTGGTTATAGAAGTGAAGTGGACTAAGTATGGATCCCTACTGAATCCACAGGCCAAAATAGTCAATGTAACTGCAAATCTAATTTCATCCTCCTTTCCTGAGGTAGGCCTAACCTAGTTTAAAGGCATAGGTTAAGATAGAAGTCTAGACACAACTCAAGTGTGGTAGGTGACAGGTATTACTTTGTGAAAAAGATGACAATTTAAACCATAGGGGTTCATGAAATACTTCAGCAGTCATTCTTTTGCCTAGAAAGAAACACTGACGATGGTTCTATTTACATTAGCATCCTGGTTTAGATTGGATCTTTAAAATTCTCATAGAAATTATGATTGATATTCATGTGTTAATCAGACACCCTGATAAAATTGTTTCTCTCATCCAAGTTAATGGCCGGTCAGTGCTCCAGAACCTATCAGATTCATGAAGTGACAGTGGTTGAGTGAGGAAGAGAATGAAAAGTGTCTCATTGTTGTCATTCTGGGAGCACACTGGAGGGTGGGCCTTGCATCTGTTTATTACAGGCCAACTCAGGAAATGAAAGGACGATTCTTATTTCCACTGCGGTTACTTTTGTGGACGTGTCTGCACCTGCTGAGGCAGGCTTCAGAGCTCCGCCAGCCATCAACGCCAGGCTGCCCTTTAACTTCTTCTTCCCGTTTGTTTGATGTAAGTCATTATTTGAGGAAACTATGCCCCTCTTCTGAGGTCATCACCTTTGAAAAGTGTGCACATGGGTGCTAGAAGTCCCTAGGGGACACTGCATTTTATACTTTTTGAGATAGAGTCTCGCTTTGTCACCAAGGCTGGAGCACAGTGGTGTGATCGTGGCTCACTGTAGCCTTGACCTCCTGGGCTCAAACAATCCTCCCACCTCAGCCTCCTAATAGCTAGGACTACAGGTGTACACCAAAACACCTGGCTAATTTTAATATATTTTGTAGAGACAGGGTCTCGCTGTGTTGGCCAGGCTGGTCTCAAACTGCTGGGCTTAGGTGCTCCCCCTGCTTCAGCCTCCGAAAGTGCTGGGATTACAGATGTGAGCCACTGCGCCCGGCCTTATTATACCTGTGACCTTTGAGGTTGCCTCCAGACCAGCACACTACCCTTCCCCCCTCCCTTCCCACCTTTGTTCCTTTTGGAAATGTTATTCTGTTTGACTTTTGAATGGGGAATATGTTCAACACACAGGTCATAGATGGAACCCAAAAAGTCTTTGGGGAGATGGTAAAGAGAATGAACAGACCCTGAAGCAGCAGAGGCACAGGGGATTTGGCCAATTCACTCATCCCCTGCTTTGAGTTATTTTAAAAATACTGTTTTTAATTAAGGATTTTTCATTTTTAGGTTTGGTTGAAATTAGTATAGAAATAGCAAAATATTATATAAAATCATGTGAATAGAGTACACAGCCTTATGAAGGGATTGTCCCACAATTGCCATGTTAATTACAGTGGAGTCTTGGGTCTAATTGCCGTTTCTGCATGAGGCACTGTAGCTAGCTTGCTCCCTGACTGGCAGGCTGGTATGGGTGCCACAGAGGAAAGAATACAGTAGGAGGGTCCAGGGGAAAGAGAGTGTTTATTTTATACAGTAATTGTACAGTAATTGAGGGAAAATGTCAGGTGGCAGAACACGGTGGAGCCAGCTAGAGGCTGGCTGATGCAGCTGGGGCACACAGAGCAGCAGCCTGGGTACCCCTTTTGGGGAAACTGAGACAAGGGAAGCTATTTAGAGCAGCTTGAAAATAAGACTTTTCTAGAGTGGGGTGGCAGCTAAAGTAGCTTCTTTTTCTTTCTTTCAGAATGCTCATATGAAAGGATACATTGGTTCCTTAATATAGATGTGAAATTTGAAAACTGTACATTCAATGAGATTAAATTTTTTTTTTTTTTTTTTGAGACGGAGTTTCGCTCTTGTTGCCCAGACTGGAGTGCAATGGCGCGATCTCGGCTCACCGCAACCTCCGCCTCCTG